CCCCAAAACCCCAAAACCCCAAAACCCCTCTTGACAAATTAATGTGATAGATAATCATAAGAAGAAAAAAATTATCGGTTAACATGCATTTTAATAAAGAAATGCTATAATTTTAAATGATAAAAGTAAAATAGCTAATTTAAGAAATAAAAGAGAGTGCTAACACAGGGGCGAATTCCTATCAAACTACATAGCACTATACTAATCAAGAGCAAAGTAAGTTCACTTACATAGATAAACTATTCATTTAGCAACAATCACAGTTGGATTTGATGAAGTAGTATTCAATGATGTGGTATTTCTGCTGGATGGCGGATAAACTGAGATTTCTATCAATAGAAATATAATGACTTAGCGATCGCCATATTTTAGATCTTTGATTAAAAGTCTAGATTTGACCAAGGTATTGTAATTATATAAAGCTAATAACACTTTAGTAAATTCGAATATTGCTTCCTAAGTGGGTTCGCAAAGAGTTTTTTCAGTTATTTATTAACTACATAAAAATAGAAAGCTAAGGTAACATATAACAAGCAATGTCGATGTTGATACAGCAATCACTTGACTTTGTCTAAAGAATACTTTGGTTAGCTGACTTTTTCCAAATTCTTGATCTGCAAAGATTCCTAATCAATGAGGTCATCATGCCAAAGATGACTCCTATTCAAGCATTAAACTACTATAATGACATTTTAAAAAAACTAAAAAACAGCTTTTAAAATAAAAACAGTCCTAATAATGATCCATCAAATTAAAATAACCAATCTATGATTAACAAATTTATATCCTCAGCCTCAATGAATCATAATAGCACATCAAATGGAAGCTTAAACATGACAGTAATGAATTTCAAGAACGAAATGCTCTCAATTTGGGAGTCCTTCAAGCAAAGCATTTTATCTTTTATGGCTTCAAACATACCTTCTATGATAAAAATAGATAAATTTTTGGATCTAAATGCTTCTCTCATTGACGACTTAATGAATCGATATCTATCATAGACTTTACATCATGATAAGGAGTTGAAACTAAAAACTGATTTAGTTTAATTTATGATAGGAAGGATTTAATTTGGAAAGCTTTTCAATCCTAAGATACATAGCAACTTTTATTTTTGTATCCGAGGAATAAAGGATATCAAATAGTTACTTTGGGAGGTATGCTTCAATGAGGAAAATAGACTTATTATTTAAGAAAAAAGATCTCATGAATTTAGCCTTTTCAGTCAATATAACTGCCAACTAAGTGCAGTTCTTGAAGGCAATACAATCAAAGTCAATTTAATTTAGTTGAAAGATCATAAAAAGCTAATGCTGGACAATAAGACTAATTTAGATACCGCCTCTAGATACAGTGATGCCTCATTGGGAAAATAGTCAATATCTGTTAAAAATTATTGCGGAACACCCTAAAGTATAAACAGATAGAGATACCTAGATTACATAAAACATTCTAAACCTAAGAGTATTAGCATTAGAAACCAAAAGTTTAGTTTTAGTAAAATGATGCAGAACTATGCTTTGATTGTGGATAAAAAGCGTAATAGATCTTAACAGTCTTTAAAGCAACATAGTCCTAAAGGAATTTAAACTTCTAGATATGAAGTAAAGCAGAGAGCTAATTCTATCAAGGAAAAAGCGCCTAGAAAGGCCTAATCTGCAAGCAATACTCCTTAAAACTAAGGTAAAAAGCAAATGATGCTTTAAGATAGAGATAAATTTGACAATAACCAAACTAATGGGCTAAGTATTGCTAAACAAGTCGAATGCTTCGTCCTTAAACTTAAGATTAACGAGTATGAGACAATAACCTATCCTTTGACAATGGCACATAATAATCTAGAGTTCGAATAAATCACCCATTTAATATAGCAAAGAAATATATTTCCAACAACTCAACCTTTGAGACTGTTTATCACAATAGAAAAAGATCATAGAACTGAATTATGCTTTGAATATTTGATGCACTGATTGACTAATGCACCAGAACTCCTGATTTAACTTAGCATTCCATAGATAAATACGATTTTTAGAAGTTTAAATGATGATGATTTGAAAATAAGCATGATGGAGGTAATGGCAGATGAATCTAATATCATTGAGATCGAAGATAAGCTTTTATAGCTTATTAATTGGGATAAAGTAAGCACATAAGTCTTGCTTAGTGTAACTAAGAAAGATCATGTTCTATAAAGTTCTATACCTTTTAAGCAGAAATGCAAATATCAACTGCGCATGAGAAAGGAGCAATCATATAATGTTAGTATTAATAGCAGTATTGGTCCAAGCAAAAGAAATTCACTCTCAAAGGACCCAAACAGGTATTCAATGAGTTTCGCCTCACCAAGAGATGGAGGTAATGAAAAAAATCCAAGTAGATAAATTAATAACAATCTGGTAAAAAAAATAAGTGCTACATAATAAAAGCACGTCATAAATATTTCGAGAGAAAACGACTTGACTAAAAAAATAGTTGAGTCCATAGTAAATTCACCCAGTTCTAAGGAAATAATGAAAAACAAAAGTAAAAGTAGGCAGAACTCTAGAGAGAAGCAGCTTAATCTTTAATCTCCTTATTAAAAACAAAAGCCAACCAACAATCTTATATACAATGAATTCTTGCACAAAAAGGAAATCATTATCGGACATAGTATTATTACTCAAAACAATAAGATAAAGCTTATGAGTTCTAGCAATAGAAAATTAAGAACTATTGAAGGAGGAACTGGAGGTAGTGAAAGCTTGAATTTGGTTAATAACAACAATAGAAGATAAACTGCTTCTACTATTCAGTCTAGATCAAAAGTCTAAAATGTGGAAGCGACAAGAAAAAAGTCATAAAACTAATTTTAAAACCAAAAATAGCAGATCAGACAGCCATTGATAATAAAGAAAAATGAGGCAAGAGCCCCTCTTGAATAGAATGTCAATATTACCAATCTTGATATTTCAGCGGCAGAAACCAATAGTCTAGATTTAAGCAGAATTTTCCATGGAATGAATACAACCCCAATTGGTAACATTAGCAATTCAGGAACTGTTTAATCTCAGAATAATAAATCATCTTTAACTTAGAATCAGATATAAAATAACTCTCAACTTCAATCAAATCAGAATCTACCATCTAGTTAGCTTAGTCAAGTAAATTAGCAGGCCAGTCAATCTAAAAAAGCTTAGTCTGTTAGTCGTCAATCCTAGTCTGTAGTTAGACGAGTTTTAGAAGAGCAGCACAATAACACTAGCAACTAGCAGTTCTAGCCGAAGTTCTACATTGACTTGCATGAGCTATAAAAACAAATCACGAGAGGCAACTGAATGTACATAAGCCCACTGAGTCGGCTTCAATTCTCACTAAGATTTTGAATTAATGAAAATATACCCTTTCAGACAAGCAACTTATTTACTTTAATAGGCATTAATTTTTACTACCAAATTTATAATCTGATCTTAATAAAGGTCTCTGGGGTTTTGGGGTTTTGGGG